AGCTGAGTTTGTTCTGCATGTGGCAGGAAGCCACTGGAGGCTCCTCAACAGGCAGAAAGATCAGACAGTGGGGAGTGGGGGTGAGGAGGCTGAAAGCAGGGGCAGGGGCACCAGATAGGAAGCTGAGCTTTCTTAGGAGAAGCAATATGGCAGTGACGTGGTTGGGAGGCTGACAAAGAAAGCAAGCCTAGAAGCAACTGCCATAAAACCCAGTTCCAATGTGGTTTGACTGCAACCACACAAAGCCATGCCTATGCAATTTATGTTACATAAGCTTTTTCATGTATTAATAATACATTAATAAAAGTCTAAATAAAACAATAAAGTAATTACTTAAAAACCAAAACAAGTGAGTCTAAATTTTTATAAAATTGTTGCTATAACTACACAAAATTATTCAAGTGATTTAAAAATACCCTATTACAAATACCTAGTAAAATATATACTAAAAACAAAAGAACTATAAAGGAATTTTAAACTACATTCAGTGTCCCTGTTGTTAGTGGCAAGGTGGCCATTGTTATTAACTATAGATACACCAGAGGCCCGATACATGAAATTCATGTAAGAGGCTCGGCCCTCGCAGCTACAGCTTCATTGGAAGGTTGTTCAGCTGTCTGATCTAATTAGCATATTATGCTTTTATTATTGTAGATAATTATGGATACATAGATGTTAGGATAAAGCAATATAAGATTAATATCATTAGGTACCAAGATTTTCAGCATCAGGGAAAGGAGACACAAACAAAAGAAGCAAAAACCCTACTGGGTAGAGAGGGCTAGCAGCAGACCTGCAACCCATTCTCTCCTTTTACTGCCCAAGAAACAGAGAAACAGAAAGTTGGCACAATTAAATCATCTTAGAAACGTGCTAACAAGAGACCTTCTGGCAAGCACACCAGAGGTTTTTACTACCAGGAGGCCTTACTCATGGAATGCTTTCGCAGGTTTATACTACCAGGAGGCCTTACTCATGGAATGCTTTCGTGCTCATTGAGATGAACCTGAGATGTATGTATTTACTAGTAGTATAAGGCATGATTTCCTAGAAAATTTCACACAAGCTATGCAGTTGCTAAAGAACAAACGGGAGATATTTCAAAACTGAAACACCTTTCTTTGGCTGAAGTCACACTCCACACTTAGAGACCTCACAAGTTGAAATCTGGGCCAGAGTGCATCCTAATTGAAGCAACACAGGACCTGGGAGCAGCTCTGGCTGCCATGAACTTCTGCACACAGTGTTGTGATCACTGTATCTTCAAAAATCTTAGTCACGTTTGATCTGATTCCCATGAGTCCAATTGGTCAATAGAATGAAGCATACGCATATAAAACCCATGAATTTGTAATGATGCTCAAAAGCAAAGCAAAACAAACAAAAACATGCTCACTGTTTCTTTTAGAGGCTGCTAGGACACCAATTTATTATTTAAAAATATTTCAAGGAAAAGAATCAAGCATTTATCCTGCTTTCCCTGTATGGACTATATTTCAGAGTAACCAAATAGTTGATGAGGGAAAGTTCTTTTTTTTAGGTTTTTTTTTTTTTTTTGCTGTTGTTGTTGTTTTTTAAAATATATTTTTATTGATTTCAGAGAGGAAGGGAGAGGGAAAGAAAGAGTTAGAAACATCAAAGATGAGAGAGAATCACTGATCGGCTGCGTCTTGCACGCCCCCAACCGGGGATCGAGCCCACAATCTGGGCATGTGCCCTTGACTGGAATCAAACTTAGGACCCTTCAATCAGTCCCCAAGCCGATATTCACATCCTGGGGGTGCCAGAAGAAGAGAGCAAGAAATTGAAAACCTATGTTAAAAAAAAAAAAAAATGACAGAAACCTTCTATAACCTGAAGGAAATAGACTTACAAGTCTCCAGAAAGCATAGAGAGTCCCAAACAAGACAAAGCCAAAAAGGCCCACACCAAGACACATCAAAATTAAAATAACAAAAGTTAAAGCCAAAGAGAGAACCTTAAGGCCAGCAAGAGAAAAGCAGTTAGTGCTAGAAGGGAGTTTCTATACGACTGTTAGATGATTTCTCAACCTTGCAGGCCAGAAGGGATTGGCAAGAAATATTCAAAGTGATAAAAAGCAAGGATCCTACAACCAAGATTACTGTACTCAGCAAAACTACCATAGAATCTAAGCTTATATAAAGAACTTCCCAGACAAGAAAAAGCTAAAGTTCATCACCACCAAACCAGTATTACATGAAATTTTAAAAGTTCTTCTTTAAGAGGGAGAAGGAAAAAAATTTTTTTTAAGTATGAACAATAAAATGACAATAAAATATTGTATGAACAATAAATATGAAATATTTATACGAAAAAAGTATGAACAATAAAATGACAATAAATATATTTACCAACAACTGAATCTTAAAGAAAGAAGCAGAACAGAAACAGACTCACATATACAAAAAACATTTTGATGGTTGCTAGATGGGAGTGGGGTTGGGAAGATTGGTGAAAAGGGTGAAGGGATTAAGAAGAACAAATTAGTAGTTACAGGATAGTCATGGGGATGTAAAGTATAGCATAGGGAATATAGACAATAATATTGTAATAACTATGTTTAGTGTCAGATGGATACAAGTTTTATCAGGATGATCACTTAGTACAGAGATTTTTCAACCCTTTTCATCTCATGGCAATAATTACTAAAATTCTGGGGCACACACACAAAAAATGTATTTTTTGCCAATCTGACCAAAAAAAAAAAAGGTATAATTTTGATTCATTTATACTGAATGGCTATTGCTGTGTTGGCTGTTGTCATTTTTTATTTGACTATCTGAGAGAAAAGAGGTCAGGTATTGCACATTTTAAAAATCCTTGCAGCATATTGGTTTAAGATTGCTCACTTAGTAAGTTATATAATGTCTAGTCACTGGGTTGCATACCTGAAACTAATATAATGTTGCATGTCAACCGTAATTGAAAAATACAAATTATTTAAAGAAAAGATAAATAATAAAAAGGAATGAATTAAACTATAATACTTGGCCCAAATTTTAAAATGGTAATAGATAGCTGGCCTAGATACAGGAATAAAAGTTAGTTTCACGCTCTGATCAGTTTGGCTTATTGGATAGAGCGTGGGCCTGCAGACTGTAGGGTCCCAGGTTCGATTACGGTCGGGGGCACATGCCTGGGTTGTGGGCTTGATCCCCAGTGGGGGCGTGCAGGAGGCTGCCGATCAGTGATTCTCTCTCATTGATGTTTCTGTCTCTCTCTCCCTCTTCCTTCCTCTCTGAAATCAATTAAAAAAATTTTTTTTTTAAAAAGGTAGTTTCAAAGGAAGCAAACCAACTTATTTTTCTGAAGATCAATTTAGTAATATGTATCAAATGTCTTTTAAAATTTTACATTTAGTCCATCAAATTCACTTTTAAGAACCAATTCTCAGGAAATTTTCATAGATGTTCACAAGAAACATCTAAAATTATCTCTCAGCCCTAACCCGTTTGGTTCAATGGATAGAGTGTCGACCTGGGGACTGAAGGGTCCCAGGTTCGATTCTGGTCAAGGGCATGTACCTTGGTTGCGGGCACATCCCCAGTGGGAGGTGTGTTTCTCTCTGATCGATGTTTCTAATTCTCTATCCCTCTCCCTTCCTCTCTGTACAAAATCAATAAAATATATTTAAAAAAAAAAAAAAGACATCCCCTAAAAATAAGACCTAGCGCATCTTTGGGAGCAAAAATTAATATAAGACACTGTCTTATTTTCGGGGAAACAGGGTAGTATATAAAATTTGATCCAATTTAGTCTTAAAACCGTACATCTTATACTGGCAAGAGTAATTAATTCTTCATGATGTTAATAGCTGTTATTTCTAGTTGATGGGATCAATATATTTAAAAAATTTTAGATTGGTTTTTCTATTAATGTTTATGGAATTTTTATAACTAAAAATTATATTTTTAAAAGATAAAAATCTCAATCAAGTCCTGAAAGTGACTAACAATAAAATAATAAATGGGTATAGCAGTGATCTTTATTTATTTTTATTTTTATTTATTTATTGATTGATTGATTGATTGATTTTTCACAGAGAGGAAGGGAGAGGGATAGAGAGTTAGAAACATCGATGAGAGATGATCAGCTAGCAGTGATCTTTAAACAAAATGATAGAAGGGTGGAGGGACAGTGTATAGTGGACACACATTGCTGTGATATATATGTTTTAAATTAAAAAATAGAGGGTGTCAAGGTGAAAGTTAGAAGAGAATTAAAGTTTATGTAAGCTTCAATTACAGTGGAATAAATACCTAAATCAAACTTCCTAGGATGACTGAAAAGGTTACAGCAGTAAAAATCCTAACACAATTCTGAAAATAACCAAAGTAGCATGTTAGACAATCCTTCCTGAGTTTCTAATGTGTGTACCATTCTCACATATTATTACATACTGGGGTCCAAAAATAAATGTTACCGTGTTTCCCCGAAAATAAGACATCCTCCGAAAATAAGACCTAGCGCATGGAAAGATAAGACATCCCCTGAAAATAAGATCTAGCGCAACTTTGGGAGAAAAAAATCAATATAAGACACTATCTTATTTTCGGGGAAACAGGGTAGAATATCTACAATAATAAAAGGATAATATGCTAATTAGACCAGACATCATTCCTGACAAAGCCGGGCCGAGGGAAGCCAGTCGGGGTCCCGGGTGCCTGCGGGCAGTTAGAGGAGGGAAGCAGCCCGGGTCCTGGATGCAGGCAGCCGGGGAAGGAAGGCCTACTCTTGCACGAATTTTCATACATCAGGCCTCTAGTTAATAAAAATGCAATTTTAACTATTGAATTTGGCCAATGTAGAGTGGGTCAAATCTGTTAAGTGAATAACTTTGATAGGTGAAAATCTTGTAAAACTAAATTTTATACATTATATGTGGTTAATAATCAGTAAACCCAGATTTCTGCATCTTTTACTCTAGCTTTAAAATCTCATTCGTAAATCAAACGAAAGCCAAGAAAATGTCAGACTACCTGGTTTCCGTACTTGCGTTGGTTCTTCATAATCTTTGCTTTCTGGATTTGAAGATTCTAAAAAGCTGACTTCTTCTGTGCCACTTTCCCCTTCTTGGCTCCTGGGGCCGTCTTCCTCCTCCTGAATAGGTGATTCCAATTCTGGCTCTTCTGAATCAAGAAATATCTGACCAGCAACTACTCTGCCTGCTGTGCTGTGGTCCTTTACTGACTCATCTGATGGCAAAGAAGTCTGAGAACAGAGAGTATTTTTAGTTATCAACAGTACCAAAATTGGCTTCAATCCAACTTGACCATTACTTTTATAATATGGATATCTCTCCTTCAGCTCCCTGAATGTGCCATACTTGCTCATCTCTATAGGTTTTTGTAGGTGTTCATCACATTGTCTGCATCACCTGCCTAACTCTGCCTCTTCAAATTTCAACTGAGATGTTACTTTTTCCAGAAAGCCCTTTTTTTTTCTAATTGATTTTTTTTTTTTTCCTGAATCAAAGAGCTGCTGTATTTCTGCTAAAGAGACAATAACACAGATAAGTCAAAGAGCTGAATGGGAAAGGGGTAGACCGTGCAAAGTGGAAACCTAACATAAAAAGACACACATACCAGTAGCCTGTTTAAGGGAGGGAGGGAGGAAGGGAAGGAGTGACTGAGCCACGACTTGGGCATGTGCACCAACCAGGAATTGAACCAGAAACCTTTCAGTGCACAGGACCACAGGATGACACCCAACCAAATGAGCCATATTGGCCAGGGATGGGAAGTATTTCTTAAGTCCTAAAGTCTGGGTTAGGATCCTCCCATACACGCTCCCAATGTTATCTTATAATTCCCCTTATGATAGCCCGGTTCTAAAACTTCCTGTTTCTTATCTATATTTCCTCTAATCTAGAGATCAGGGATCATAACTGGTTGGTCTACTTGAATACATAATAATCAGCATTAACCATTCAATCAAGCAATTTAAGTGCATAATTCAACAGATTCTTTAAAAACATTGATATAAGTAGAAATAAATGGTAGAGAGTCTTCAAAATTTAAAAAACTAAACATTAAAAGAATAAAATCAATCTCTCTTTAGGCAATAAGAGCCTTTAGGCTCTTTCACATACACAAACACACACACACACATCTGGGAACATTCAAGTTGAAATTAAACCTAATAACCAACATTCTTAATGGAAATATTTATTATTTTCTCTCCCATAGGTCAGTGGGTTTTTTCTTACCGAAGAACTAGAACTATATATTGACACCTGCTATCTTTTCTTTTTCTTAAAAAAAAAAAAAAAAAATCCAATTCTGTTTCTCAAAACATACAGATTTCATATCCTTTGTTTTAAATCGGGCATCAAATATGAGTCAATGCAAATGTTCGTACATACCTTGGAATCTAAGGATTCATCCTGGCTGCTTTCATCATCTGTAAAAAAATTTTTAAGACAACTTGGTCATCTTTCTTGTTGGGAAGTCACAGGTATTATGAAAAGAAAGCATTTGGTAAGTACAACAAATAATAATCAGGCACTGGATAAATAAAACTAGAATTATCTAAAGCTGGCTGTATTCAACAACAGTTCAGAAAAGATTACATGAGAGGAGAAAAAGGGGGTGAGATGGTCGTTTTTCCAGGAAAAAAATTTGCTTGATCCGTTATACAGGTAGGAAGACCAACAACTACCACACCACAACCAGATACTTCAGGATACCATCCAGTTATTCTGTATATACTCAGACTACTGCTGAGAGTTACTAAATTTATAAAAATCAGTCTCTGATTTTGTGGTTCAGGATTCTATTCTTTTCCTCTGCTCAGAATCTGGAGTTACACCAGCTTATGTTAATGCCAATTAGCACTTTATTGTTCACTAAGACTACTAAAGATGTGCCCTAAGAACTATTATTATTATTTGACAGTAGAGTTAGTATACTGAGATAGTTGTGTACTATTTTACTGAAGAGATAACCAGATACAGGTAAAAAGTATCATCATACTATCATGCATTCATTCACAAAAGATATACGTATTTATTGCCGAAACCGGTTTGGCTCAGTGGATAGAGCGTCGGCCTGCGGACTGAAAGGTCCCAGGTTCGATTCTGGTCAAGGGCATGTACCTTGGTTGCGGGCACATCCCCAGTAGGGGGTGTGCAGGAGGCAGCTGATCGATGTTTCTCTATCATCGATGTTTCTAACTCTCTATCCTTCTCTCTGTAATATATCAATAAAATATATTTTAAAAAAGATAAACGTATTTATTAAGAAATCAACAGCTTATATTAAATAGACAATGAACCCAGCCACTAATTATACCTTTTTCCCCAAATTCACACCTGCTGCTTTGGCTTTGCCCAATTACATTAATTCTCCTTCTATTATTCTGTGTTTTCCTGGTATTACTTCTATTCTGGTCACTGGTTATTCTTTGTCCTTTTTGTTTTGTTTTGTTTTGGTTTGTTAATTCTCACCAGATAATTTTTCCCCCCATTGATTCTTATTTTTATTTTTAGAGAGAGTGGAAGTGGGAGGAGAGACAGAGAGACATGGGGTCTGGGGATGGTGCTGTGCCCTTGACCAGAATCAAACCTTCAACCCTTCAGTCTAAGAGCCAATGCTCTAACCACTGAGAAAACTCGATAGGGCTTGTTCTTATGTAAACACATGTGACAACTCCATGCCCGTATGCAAATGTTTGGTCTTTGTGTTTCTGGCCAGTTAACAAATAAAGGATCTCTAAGCTTCCTTTTTCACTCTTAAAATTACATAATTTTAGCTAGGAATGAGCTTCAGTTTTGCCTGTTCCATAAGTTATATGAGAAATTAACCAGTAGACAAAATGTCTTAAGACCATGTGATTTTTACTAGAAAATTTCGTGTTAGAGTTGCCATATATCTTTACTTCATATGGTCATATTATTCATAACCTGTAATTCTAAGATATAACAAAAACATGTTTTAGAATTTGTATTATCACTGAGCTAACCTTTAAGAATTATAAACAACTCAAAATTATATACAAAACACATAACTCTATTTCACAATATTGGTTTCTTTTGAATATTTGAAAAAAGCCTATTAGTGAGGTTATGTCATATACAAAAGTGCTGTCAATTGAAAGAAGCTTAAGTTACAGCTTCTTTCATATCACTGTTTTAGATTACCTTTCATATGTTTTCATTCTGTGGGAAGGGAGAGGGGGGAGAAGAGGATATAGCATGTCTTAATCCACAGTGCCCATACATTTAGGTAGTGATATCAATCCTATATAATAAAAGCCTAATACGCTAAATGTCTGATTGTTTGACTAGTCGCTATGATGTGGCAGACGCTCTGACCAGTAGGTTAGCTTGCTGCCAGGGTCCAGCTGATAAGGATTGGGCAAGACAGGCTGAACATGCCTTGGAGTTCTCCCGTGGTCCTTTCCCGCCCAATCGTGCACCACACCAGTGGGGTCCCTCAGCCTGGCCTGCACCCTCTAGCAATCCAGGACCCCTCAGGTGATGTCAGGAGTTGTTTTCGGCCGGATTCCCGCTGGACAGACAGAGGAACTCCACCAGTTCATGGGTGCATGAATCTATGCACTGAACTCTAGTTAATTAATAATCATCCTGCATGCTAACTTCTTCACAATTATCACCCAAAGCCCAAGTTCTAACATATGGTTCAAATTCCATTCTCAACAAATATTTGGATAAAGGGGAAAAAATTCATCTCTATTATATATTGAAGTTGTATGTGTGAATGTATTCAATTAATCACAAACATTAGATAGTAAATAAATCAAGAGCAGACAGTGAATATGCAAATATATATGAAGAGCAGACATTGAATATGCAAATATATATGGTATATTACTAAATACTAAAACTTTAGATTATCTGGAATTCTTAATCACTAAATTTAGTATCCGTCACAACAGGTCACTAAATAATACAGATACCTATAAATAAATTTTAAGACATATACATTTGAGATACTACAAGCTATTAGGCATTAATGTGTTTCTGAACTCTAACAGACATGGAAACTTGTGGTGACAACAGGGTTATTTCATGTGAATTGCATCATGCTTCTCTCTCTTTCTCTTTTCTCTTCACAAACAGGAATAGATACTAAGGTTACTGGCAAATAAGAAAATTCTTTCTCCTTTACTAAAGTGGGAGAAGCTACCCCAGATGGTAGTTTTAAAGGATAAGCTATTTTCTCTTTCAAACTGATATATCTACTCGCATAACGCATTTAAAGAAGTTGCTTATAACCTAAAGATTCTGATATGTAGAAACCAGGTAAGGATTAAAGACACTGAAGTTATGCATCAATAACACAAAAATAGTAATGCTTTTTATCAGAACACAGACATCAAGCAACAAGAAAACTGCAAAGGGATTCAACGAGGAGTTTCGGATTTCTCACTCAACAGTTTCACATCCAAAATATAATGGTTTGCATTACTTTAGTAATCGTACACCTTCCTTTGAAAAAGATCAATTTTCATTTTTATTTTATTAGCTAACAACACTGCAAAGTATCAAGTATATTCTTTCGGGGAAAGTAATGATTACAAACTCATTTTCTAACTTGTCATGTAAATTACACGGATACACCTTCAAACAGAAAAGCTTAAGAGTTTGGTGCAAAAAGACATCCTGTTTTCTGCTTTACCACTGAATCTATGCGGATTCTATTATAGGATACTCTTGATTCTTAATTACTCCTATTCTGAAGCCTGGAGACCTGGGTTCAAAACCTGGCTTCGTTATATATTGATTTTATCCATGTGGTTCAATATGGCAAACTTTCTCAGACTCCTTTTCCTCACTGTACCAAAGAATAATACCATCTGCCCTGTTGACTCACAGTATTTTTGAAGAAAAATGAAACATCCTCTGCAATTTCTAATCTATTCTCTGGATGTATGGTATTAATACAACTCTTACTTGAAATACCCAGCAATGAACCTAATGTAAAAGACTCTGAAACGGTTTTGGCCCAAAGAGAGAAAAGGAAACCATTTGCCTCTTCCTGCCAAAAATAAGAAAACATGTATTTCTAAGTGAGAAAAGTTTACAGTACTTTTCACTATTATCTTGAGAAAATAAAGGAGAAATACCTCTTCAATATCCTTCTTCAAAATGTATTTATTCACAGAGAAAATAAAACATTTCCCATAAAAGTATCATTTTTATACATGCATCTAAAGCAAGATATTAGGGAATAGCTACGGACAGTGATAGGATCAAAATTCTTTTTGTTGGCTGATCATCATAGTCCACTTGCTAATAAATGCAACTTCTTCTGGGTAATTAATAACATTCAAACTTTTTAAATCAACACAAAATTATAACCCAAACCCAGATTTTTAACTAGAAACAACTCTTTAAATCTAAACTAAAAATGAATCTGACAGTGCATATAAATAAGCAATTTAATGAATAAAAAGAAGTCAACTGAAAATCCATGTAACTCTCAATTTCTAAAACTCTCTCACATAAATATTTTAGGATATTTGCACTTTCTATCAGCCCAGGGATGCCTTTATTATCTGTCAATATGCACATCTTACATTATTTAGTTCTCTGCCTCTACCAGAGAAATGTTTTGACACAATTTAACTATGAGTGAAATCACAGCAGACAGTTCTTGAACTTACATCAACACAACCCAAAGGGTTAGCACTTCAGTATTAACAGTTTTCTATGATAACATACTGAGAGTCCCAAGTGTTGGTGAATTGACTTCAAGGATCATCTCCACGCACATGGAGCTCTAACTATGTAAAATCTAACTAAAGGAAGATGCAGGAAGGTGTCTGTATGCTTTCATTTTCTCCAAGTTCTGCAAGTTGAATTCACAAGGATATACACATGCTCTTTAACTAGCAGTCCTCACAGTTTAGTGTAAAGAATCATTTGTGAAGCTTGTGAAAAACTACAGACACCCTGGCCTGTTCCAGACATAAAACTGCATTTTTTACAAACCTCTACAAGCAATTCTCATACAGGCGGTCCATGGTCCATCAAGTACTCTACCATGGGACAGCAAGTAGTTTGCTTTCATACTTCCTTTGATCTAATAACTGCTAGCAGTGCTCCAAGAATTACGTCAAGTTTTAAAGATTTGGTCCTTAAAACAAACTATTGATGAAAGGGGGGGGGGGGGGGGTTGCCAGACCTCAAAGCGTGATGTCGGCAGTCACATAACTAGCATATGCTTGTTGCTTTTGAAATGGTATCTCAAACCACATTATGGATAGAATTTTAGGTTTAGGCCTCTTATTTTAGAAGCAGAATGACGTTACGGCATTGACTTACAACTAGGGCAGACAATTTGGGGATTCAACTAACCATCTGGGAAATTTTCTGTTGAAAAAAAGGATTGACATTTATACCCTGCCTTGTTCTAAAAAAAATGTTCAAGCCACAGAACAGCTGTCTTGTCAACGAAAACTGATTAAAATTCAAAAGCTTTACTGTACTAATTATTTCCCAACACTTAGACACACTAAGTGTTTCTTTACCAAACACACTTTCAAAACAGAAGTTTTCAGATGTAGGGGGACTGAAGTACTAAAAGAAAAAAATAATTATTTTTAGAACCAGAGTATAAATCAGCTAATTTGTAAAATCACAGGGATTTCTATATCTACATACCAGTTAAAAGTAGGCCCTGGCTGGATGGCTCAGTTGGTTGGAGCCTCGTCCAGTACACCCAAAGGTTGTGGGTTCTATTCCCATGGTGTGTAAGGAGTGGGGGGAGCAACCTATCCGTTTCTTTCCCTCTCCCTTCTCCTCTATAAGATCAATCAAAACCATATCCTCGGGTGAGGATTTTTTTTATAAAGTTAAAATTAGTTGCAATCCTTTTTAAATGTATAGGGACCATGATTCCCCCCAAATCATAAAATTATTGTCAACAAACATGAGACAACTCAGAAACACTGTGACATTGAGGTAAAAAAACACTTTCTTGGGAATACTCCTTTTTAAAAGGGGGAGGGAATGAACACAATTATATCAAAGGTTTTCGTGATTAATCAAAGAGACGGAGGACCGTCTCAGGTGCTCGCACACCCCTGTCAACCTCTCCTGGCTTTGGTGCACCTGGCTCTGCCTTGGGTGTCAAACACCTAATTGACAGATTCCCCGAGCCGGAGTGTCTGTCAGACCCGATGCAGCACACAGTCCACCCGAGAGCCGAGCGAGCTCCGGGGGGGACGGGGAGGGGGGCACCTCCCGTGTCCCTGCGGGTCTGACCAGCGGCGGCACTCCCTCCCAAGGAGTCGATTCCCCACCCGCGAGGAGTCCTGCAAAGTTCGCTCAGTGAGCAGAGGTGTGGGCACGGGGACCGCCCTTGCTTCCCCTCCCTTCTCCAGTCCCCTCACCACCCTCTCTAGCTCAGGCCCACCGAAGCCCAAGGACCCACGGCGGCTGACAGGTGAGATCGGAGAGAGTGGAGTCTCCAGCCCTAGCCCCCAAGGCCCTGCCCGGGATGGAGGCCGGGGGGGCGGTGGCTCCTGGCCTCCGACCCAGGGTGGGCAGATACTGACCCGAGGACGCCGAGGCCGTGCCCAGCAGCACCGCGCAGAACAGCAGCGTCAGCCCGACCCGGACCCGCATCCTGCTCTCGGGGCTGCCGCCAACCCCGGGAGCTGTCGCTTTCGCCTCTGGCGCCACCAACTCTGCCGCCGACACCGCCGCCGCCGGGCTCTTCCTGCTCGCGTCTCTGGCTCCACCCCTTCCCAGGCCCCACTGCCCCAGAGCGCAGCCAATCCCCGCCTGCCGCCACGGGCTCCTTGCCCAATCGCCGCGGTCTTCCCGCCCTCCTCCCTGCCCCGCCCACGGGGTCAGGGATTGGCCAATCCTTATGCGATGCTCTCACACGGGCTTTCCCGGTTGGGCCACGGCGTCACCGACATGGCCCCAGTTAATTGGTAGCTCCTGGACTCCACCAGCCCGGAAAATCGGAGCGGGATTCCAGGGCTGGGAAGTCACCGAAGACTACAAGTACCACAATGCACTTCATGGGCTTCTCGCGTTGTGTGCTCATGGGAAGCGTAGTCCACCGTGCGGTGTGCTTTAAAAGCGCAGGTGGCTGTTGAAATGAAAAGAACTTTGCTAACACCTGGGCAGGACACTAACTCAAAGCCTTGAACCCCCCCCCGGCTTCTTTTTTCTTTTCTTTTTTTAACCAACGTAAATATTAAGAAACATGCAATATAATGTGTTAAACGCTTCATCTTCGTTTAATTTGAAAAATTTGAATTGGAATAGTGATATCAGACCTGAGGAAAAAACACAACAGGTAGACGGAATATATATATATATATATATATATATATATATATATTCCCACTGAATTAGAGGTATTTTTTAAACTTAGATAAATAAATACCCTATACAGGGTGAGGCAAAAGTAGGTTAACAGCTGTTTGTATTAAAAAAAACAAACCCCAACCCCAAACAACAATTAATAAATAATAACACAATAATAAACTGTGTTTAATGTATTCACAAGTAAGTCTACTTGTGTCCCATTCCCTCCTTCCTCGTATTTAAGGCCCCCTGCTAGATGCTGCCTGGACAAATTAACCACTCCTTCCTGTTTCACTGTTTTCTAGTGTGGCAGTGAAAAAATAATTTCTTATTTCTATATTTTTTTGGCTGGTCTAATAATCTAGCATGAAATAGATGAACAGGAGAAAATAACTAAATTTACATATGTATATATAGGGGTTCGCTAAGAATAATGGGACCCCAGGAAACATTGGGCAATTGAGGCTTATATGCCATTCAGATCTACCAAGAGGGAGACAGGGGTCTGGAATTTTTAAGGGAAAGTATGCAGTTCACTAGTAGATGAGAAAGAGCAAAAATAAGATAAAGTAATTCTTTCTGGCCACCCGGAACTGATGGGACACAGAGGGAAGTCTAACAAACACACTTTGCGTGGCTTCCCCCTGACTGTCACACTTTAGGTCTTACTATGATGCTAAGGCAGGGGTCTGCAACCTTACATAAAGAGCCACTTGGACCCGTTTCCGAAGGAAAAAAAAACCTGGGAGCTGCAAAACCATTGCGATATTTAAAACAAATATAACACTGCATATATTGTTTCTTGCCTTAATGCTATATACCGGATCGTGCAGTTAGCTGTCAATCTGAAGAAAAAAGGACTTTTTCACTTAACAATGTAAAATATCTTTTTGCAAATTAATAGCTAATTAAAATATTTCATTTACCTGGTTAATGGGATTTTTGCTCCTGAACCTCAGTGCACAGTGTCTGCACATCAGGACTGTAAGACGTTACCTTCATTTTCACACAGGCTTGCAAGTTGTCATCTGTGAGGCGTGATCGATGTTTGTTTTCAATATAGTTCATGTTGGAGAAGACCTGCTCACATACATATGTGGAGCCGAAGATCGACGGGACTCCAAATACATACTTTTTCATGTTTATATAAGTGTTGGGGATGGCATTCCATGTTTCGAATACAAGTTTGTCCTGTTTGGGAAGGATTTCAATATCACTCCATTTATGATTCTGAGCCAGAATGGCAACATCCTCAAGAGTAGCGGTCAAGCATTTGAACTTGGACACCCATATATCTTTGTCGGCTGTATCAGCCAGTTCCATCTCAAGATCAGGTTGACTTACACCTGCAAATGCAGTCATTTTCAACAGGGATGGATCGATCGCCAGGGGAGTGACAGGGAAGGATAAAGTGGTTTTTTCCTCTCTGAACTCACAGAATCGTTTCCCAAACGAACTTTACATTGTGGTGATTGCAGACTTCAAATATTCCAAATTTATCGTATCATGACTTTGTTTGAACTCTCTCAAAGAGGGAAAGTGAGACAGTGTACCTCTCTGTAAATCTTTGACAAACGCTGTCAACTTGCTCTCGAATGCCAAAACCTCCTCCAGCATGTGCAGGGCTGTGCCTCCTTTCCCCTGAAGGGTTGAATTTAGTGTGCTTAGATGTGCTGTCATGTCTACCATAAAATGTAATTTTTCCAGCCACTCTGATTGTTCCAGCTCAGCAAAGGTAAGTGATACAGCTCCCCGCTCGCCCCCCCTGCTGTCGGCCCTGCCTCGGCAAAGCTTCAAAAGAGCCGCATGCGGCTCTGGAGCCTAGGTTGCAGACACCTGTGCTAAGGTGATCGCTTCCTTCCTTTAAGCAGGTTTTTCTGAGTTTGTTTAGGTAAGGGGGAGGTTCAAAGGTCCTTTCTGAGTCCCTTTGTTTCTTAAAAAGAACCAACTTAAAGTAATAAATATCCCAAGAAGACACATTTTGGGGAGGCAAACTCTACTTCCCCTCCCCTGATTTCCACATTCATTAACACACTCTCACCTTCTCATGGGATCCCCTACCTTCTCCCCGCTGTCCTTATTCTTAGTCACAGTTTTGGCATCTTTTCAGTTTCACTTGCATTTAGTCTTGACTGAGTCTTCTCTAACCAGGCAATTACCGGTTAGGGCCAGGCCCATTCTTATTAATTTTCATTTTTCTAAGTGTCCACAGGACATTCACAAACTTGCTTTGTAAATAGGTTGTAAGCTTATTGAGTCCGGAGACAATTATATAATTCTGTGTAAAGGTATACAGCATATATAGGAATATAGCATTGCCAGCTACTAGGATTAGACAATTATCGATTGATTGGTAGATATGTCTTACCTCTAAAGCATTTGAATAATAAGGTTCAAAGTACAGTACTTGCTATCTACTATAAATTTAATCTTAAACTATCTTACAGTGAAATTGTAAGGAGCATTTGTACCCCAATTATACAGAAAATTTACTTCACTCATCTGCACCTCATCTATCGATATAAAATAGGTATCTTAATAATACCCTCTTCACCAAGTCTGTTGTGAGATTCTAAAGACACAGCAGAAAAAAAGTTCTTTCATTACAGAATGTTTTACAGATATTATTTCTCATTGATTGCTTGGTTGAAACAAAGGAACAGAGAAAACAAAAAAGTTAATTTTACTAATTTTTAATTTAAAAAAGGCTTAGTTTTATTAACTTTAATTTAAGTTCTACTAACTTTCCCTTAATTTAAAAAAGGCTTAGAGCTGCTACAGCTACTGCCTTTAGCCAACAATGAGTAATATAGCTGTTCTGAGACTGCTCATGGGACCTTGACTTTTGGGGGAAATTTCAAATCTCCAAATCAGGTATTGAATACATTGTGGAAAGCCAGCTTTATTTGATCAGCTTGCTAGATTGCATGACAATTAATTAGTGAACAGGTTGTGAATTCTCCATAGCCTTCATCCAGCATACACTCCTCAAGGTTTCCTGTCAATATTCTCAGTAAACGTTGTGTACTCACTCTACTGGCACAAACTGTGAAATTATTAATTCACAGACTTCTTTAATATTTGCTCAGCTGTCTGTACTCCATTTAAGTTGTCCATATCAGTGTTCTGAGTCATGTCATAGATTACCAAGTTGCAGAAAACCTGTTTTCTCTGCATTACAGGACAGCATAAGGCTCAGGTAATAAATGCTTTTTATGTGGATAACACTGATGTAACCTTATTCCATTGAAATGAATCAAGCAATCAGTCAATATTGAGACTTTCCTAAAAGTGTTGAGCATTAAATCCAGCTTGCTCTTCATGTAAGGACGGTCAGACAAGGCTGAGAGCCTTTTCCTGAGAATGGAGTGTTTGTCGCTAACTCTAGTCCACTATATCCTTTCCCGTGCTATTCTTAGGGATCTATTTGAGTTGGCAGTGTGGGCAGGCTGCCAGTGCTTGTATCAACATATCTGCCAGGAGAGGATTAGGGAGAGGCAAAGAGTAAAATATCCTCCCCCCATCAGAGCTTGGAGAAGAATATACTTTCTTTGATATTCATGAAGTGGATTAAAGTCATTATCTTTGTGTTCCTTTTCCATGCATAAATGAAAATATAAATCCTTGCACCCTATTGTGGGATAGAACCTGGTACCTCCCACGTACATTCTGATCTCCTTGAATAATGGGCAATGGCTTTTTTTGTTGTTGTTACTCCTCACCCGAGAATATTTTCCCCATTGATTTTTTAGAGAGAGTGGAAGGGAAGAAGGGAGAGGAGGAAAAGGGGAAGAGAAATATCGATGTGAGACAGGCACTCGGATCGGTTGCCTCTAGGGAAGGGAATCAAACCTGCAACCTGGATACATGCCCTTAACCAGGAATCAAACTCAAGATCTTTCAGTGTTTGGGCCCAGGCTCTAACCACTTAGTACACCGGCCAGGGATGGACAATGACTTTATTTTATTTTTGATTCTCTCTCACCATTGATGTTTCTATTTCTCTCTCCCTTCCTCTCTGAAGTCAATAAAAATATATTAAAAAAGAAAAGAAAAGAAACAAACACCTAAGCTCTGAAGGTGAGAGAATAAATGAGGTGGTGTGTGTGTGTGTGTGTGTGTGTGTGTGTGTTCAGGCTCTAGTTACTAAGTTTTATCCTGAAGTGACATTTACTTTGGAGCTGTGTATTCTTTCTGAGTGGAGTCGATTCATACCAGGCAAAGGAGAAGCCAGGATACCTCCATTCCCTGAATAAATGGACAGGCATCTTTTGGTCTTCCCTTCCCCTGGTCCCCATGGATTTGTTAACTACTGTAGATTCTGGAAAGAGACTAAACTAACTCCCAATAAGAATTTGATTAAGTGAACTTTATAAGGTGGAAATAAATAGCTTGGAGCTCCCATTCAATTAAAAATACT